CCTTGCATGCCTGAGGCCCTGGGTTCGATTCCTCAGCAGCACATAAGCAAAAAAGAAAAAAGCCGGAAGTGATGCTGTGGCTCAAGTGGGAGAGCACTAGCCTTGAGCTGAAGAGCTGAGGGACAGCACCCAAGCCCAGCATTCAGGCCCCACGACCGGACCCAAAAAAAAAAAAGGACAACCAAGCAGAAATGGACAAATTTCTAGAGACATACAAACTGCCTATGTTGAACCAAGGAGATATAAACCAGTTTAACAGGCCAATAACACACAAATGAGATTGAAGAAGTAATCAGAAGTCTTCCAACAAGGAAAAGTCCAAGCCCAGATAGATTCACAGCTGAATTCTATAAGACTTTTCAGGATGAACTAACACCAATACCTCTCAAGCATTTCCACAAAATAAAAACAGAAGGAATGGGGCTGGGAAAGTGGCTCAGTGGTAGAGTGTTTACCTTGCATGCATGAGACCTGGGTTCCATTCCTCAGCACCACATAAGCAGATAAAGCCGGAAGTGGCACAGTGACTTAAGTGGTAGAGCACTAGCCTTGAGCTGAAGAGCTGAGGGGCAATGCCCAAGCCCAGAGTTCAGGCCCCACAACCGACAAAACAACAACAAAAAGAAAAAACAGAGGGAGCAATTCCAAACTCATTCTATGAAGCCAATATTACACTCATCTCAAAACCAGGTAAGGATCCAACAATAAAAGAGACTTACAGACCAATTTTTCTGATGAATACAGATGCAAAGCTCTTCAATAAAATACTAGCTAACAGAATCTAGAAACAAATTTTTAAAAATCAAACAATATGATCAAGTAGGTTTCATTCCACAGATTCAAGGCTAGTTTAACATACTCAGATCAAATAAATGTAATTCACCACATAAACAGAGCCGAAGACAAGAACCACATGGCATCTCAATAGATGCAGAAAAAAGCCCTCTATGGGATATAACATCCATTTATATTAAAAAGCTTTGGAGAAGCTAGGAATAGAAGAAACATTCCTTAAAACAATAAAGGCCGGGTGCTGGTGGTTCACGCCTGTAATCCTAGTTACTCTGAGGATCTGAGAACACAGTTTGAATTGAGCCTGGGCAGCAAAATCCCTGTGAGACTATCTTCAAATAACGACTCAAAAACCAGAAGTAGAGCTGTGGCTCAAAGTGGTAGACCATTAGCCTTGAGCAAAAGGGCTCAGGGGCAATGCCTAGGCCCTGAGTTCAAGTTCCACAACCGACCTACTGACAAAGACAACAACAACAAAAACCCACAACAAAAAGGGTTATATATGATAAGCCAACAGCCAACATCATACTGAATGGGGAAAAACTAAAATCATTTCTCCTAAAATCAGGAACAAGACAAGGATGTACTACACTCCTCTTCAAAACAGTTCTGGAATTCCTAGCCAGAGAAATAAGGCAATAAAAGGACATCAAAGGGATTCACATAGGGAAAGAAGAAGTCAAACTATCCCTATTTGCAGATGAACATGATCTTTTTTTTTTGGGGGGGGGGGGGGGTCCGGTCGTGGGGCCTGAACTCTGGACCTGGGTGCTGTCCCTCAGCTCTTCAGCTCAAGGCTAGCACTCTACCACTTGAGCCACAACGCCACTTCCGGCTTTTTTCTTTTTGCTTATATGGTGCTGAGGAATCGAACCCAGGGCCTCATGCATGCAAGGCAAGCGCTCTACCACTGAGCCACCTTCCCAGCCCCGATGAACATGATCTTATACCTACAGGACCCCCAAAATTCCTTCCCCAAGCTCCTAGAGCTGATTGACCACTTTGGCAGGATATGAAATTAACCCACAAAAATCAGTAGCCATTCTGTATGCCAACAATGTACAAGGGGAAAAGGAAATCTTGAAAACAACTCCATTTGCAATGGCCTCAAAAAAAAAAAAAACTAGGAATTAACCTAACCAAAGACATAAAAGATCTTTATAGCAAAAACTATAAAATCCTGAAGAAAGAAATCAAAGAGGACACTAGGAAATGAAAAGACTTTCCATGTTCACAGATAGGTAGAATTAATATTGTAAATTGCCATACTGCCAAAAATGATACATGAATTCAATGCAATCCACTCAAAATCCCAATGATATTCTTTACCAAGATAGAGAAAATAACCCAAAAATTCATATGGAACAACAAAGGACCTAGAATAACCAAAGCACTTCTAGGCACAAAAAGCAATGTGAGTGGTATCACAATACCAGATCCCAAACTCTACTACAGAGCCATAATAACAAAACCAGCTTGGTATTGGCACAAAAATAGACCCAAAGATCAATGGAATAGGTTAGAAGACCCAGAAATAAAACCATACACTTACAGTTATCAGAAGAAGAGATAAGAATGGCAAAGAAACACATGAGGAAATGCTCATCATCCTTGGCCATAAAGGAAATGCAAATCAAAACAACTACATGATTCCATTTCAACTCCAGTAAGATTGGCCAACATTGTGAATTTGAACAACAAATGTTGGCAGGGATTTGGGGGAAAAGGAACCCTGCTGCACAATTGGTGGGAATGTAAACTAGTATGGTCACTCTAGACAGAAGAACTCGAGGGAAAAAGAATGAAAAAGTGCAGCAGTGGAGCTCCCTGGACACTGGTGAAAGTGAGCTGTACAACTCGTGGGTGGAGATGGGAGGGAAGGACTGGGAGAGAGTGAGGGAACAGAAAACACTACAGGAAAAGAAATGTACTCATTACCTGACTCATATAATTGTAATCCCCCGGTACATCACCTCTATAATAACAATAAAGTAAATTAATGAAAAGAAAAAGAAAAAGTCAAATAATAGGCCTTATCCACAGTTTCCAAGTGATCGCCTCTGAGCTCATATCTTAAAATGCCATCTGTGGTTTCCAAATTTAAGTATCCTGTCTGGTCCTGCAAATATCCCCCTCCATCTTTTTGTCAGTAGTGGGGCTTGAACTGTCTCTGAGCTCTTTTCCTCAAGGCTAGTGCTATATCACTTTGAGCCACAATGCCACTTCCGTTTTTCTGTTTTTCTGGTGGCTAACTGGAGGTAAGAGTCTCATGGACTTTCCTACTCAGGCTGACTTGGAACCAAGATCCTCAGATCTCAGCCATCTGAGTAGCTAGGATTATCGACATGAACCATCAGAGTCCTGCTCAGACCCCCTATTTAACTGGGCACTATAGTTAGATGCCCTGTGAACATGCCTACCATAGAACCCTTGACTCTCCTCTGAAAATCTGTTCCTCTGTCAATCTTTGCTATCTCAGCCAATCACATAGGACAAGTATCCGTGAGGCTTCCTTGATTTCTGCCTTTCCAGGGGATGGATTTTGCAAGCTCTGGATTGGTTGAGGTTTCCGCTGTGCTGGCATGCGCCCACAGAAGTTATGTGAGTGCTGAGGGCATTTGGAATAGGATAGTCTGGATGTGTGGCTGGCAACCAACTGCTCGTGCCAGGTGTGTCAGCCTGGGTACGGCTGTGTGCAGCTAGGCAGCTGTCTATGGTCTATATGAAGGGAAACACAGGCTTGCTCTTTGCCCTCAGCAGATCTTGCTATAAGGTAAAAGTGCAGTTATTGTCAGACCCTCAACCCCACTCTCCTGCCCCAAAGGGAAGCCTCCTTCTGTGCTTGTCCTGGTGGGAGGGACAAGAGCAAAGGGTTTCTCTGATGTTCTACCCCACTCCAGTCTTTATCATCTCCTCATAGACCACTCTACCTCCTCTCTTCCCCAGGGGGACATTCCTCTGGGATACTGACCTATGAAGATGGCAGTTGAATCTCTGAGAATCTTCCCTGAGTCCTCCCTCAGTTCAGGGCTCTAATGTTTGAGAAGTCTGTATGGTAATAGTGCCTAGTAGTTTGGCTGTGGAATCAGACTGCCTTGTTGAATTTCAGCCCTCACCATGGAGACAGATACCATTCAGCTCTAGGATTTGGAGGCCTGTGGGTGAAGGGCTGTAGGGGAGGCCCCAGGAGAGTTTACCTGAAACCCTAGAAAAAGCCAAGACTGTTGGTGCCATCCTTCTCTGTCTCCAATCCACTCACTCTTCAGAATAATAACCACACTTGGCGGTTTTACTTTAGCTCAGACACCTGCCCAGGGGAAAGAGGAAGCCCCCACGGGGGGGGGGGGGGGCACAGTTGGTTTGTTGTGGGAGAAGGGCTCCGGGCAAGGTGGGAGGTGGAGGATGCGTTCCCTTTCCCTATCCTTCTAGAAAAGGAGCCTTCCCTTGGCGTTCTTAGCCTGAACAAGCTCTGCCTCTGGTGAAGTGGAAACCAATTCCCAGGGACACCCCACCAACCACCAGTGGCAAGCGGCCCCCCAGGGATCTTGGCCAGAACCCAGTCTTCTCAGCCAGCATGGCCACAGCTAGAGCACAATTAGATTCTCTTTGGCGGTTGATCACAATGTAGCCTCTCACAGGATGTTTTCACACACACACACACACACACACACACACACAGATGTTTTCACACACACACACACCTGCTTTGGCCCCTATGGGAGCTGTGGCAGGAGAATTCTTGTCTGGAATCAGGTCACCGCCGTCCTCCCCAACCTCCCCACCCCGGGGTCCGCGCAGGCAGGGAGCTTGGGGTTGGTCTCGCTGAGGGTGGGGCCGGGCGGAGTGGGGCCTCCACAGGGCATCAGCGCCCCGGGAGATCCGGGGACGGAGCAGGACTCCCGGCTTCTCGGAGAGGCCTCCCAGGGCACCTGCCCAAGGCCACCCAGCGCGCGGCGGCCGCAGCGGGTGAGCGAGCGGGGCCCGGCCGGACCTCCCGGCGGGGCCGCGGCCGGGCTGCGGCGGGGGCGGCGCCCGCCCGGGGCCTTCCCACGCTCGGTGGCGCGTCACCGCGGGGGCGAGGGGGCGCCAGGGCGCCCGGGGCTGCGGTGCAGGGACGGACCCTGGGAAAGGGCGGTGTCTGCGCCCGGGCCGGGGCGGGCCGGGGCGGGCCGGGGCGGGGCCCGACGGGCGGATTCGGAGCCCGAGCGCGGGGCTGACAGCCTGGAAGCCTGCGCTGACCATGAAGCGGCCCAGGGAGCCGAGCGGCTCGGACGGCGAGTCCGACGGACCCATCGACGTGGGCCGCGAGGGCGATCGGAGGTAAGGGCTGTTTCCGGGGAGCGAGACTCGGACTCACCGAGGGAGGCCCGAGGGGCTCAGCGGGCGTCCGACCTGGGAGATGCCCGCAGGTTGGAGGTGTGAGCAGCGTGCACCTTTGCACACTCGCTGCGGAGTCCTGGGTGTGTCTGCCCGTCCGTGCAGGGTTCCGGATGCTGGGGTGGAGGTCGAGTTCTGCTGGGGATTTGGTGTCCAGTTATTGATGGACTTTCTGCCGAAGCGCCTCCGTGGGGGTGGCCACTGGTGAGGATTTTTCCTGGAGACATCTTGTGTATGCACCGTTCCTGGGGCTTGAACTCGGGGCCTGGGAGCTGTCCTTGAGCTTTTTCATCAAGGCTGGCACTCTACCAGATGAGCCACAGTTCCATTTCTGTCTTTTTGCTGGTTGATTGGAGATTAAAGTCTTACAGATTTTCCTGCCTGGGCTGGCTTTGAACCCTGGTCCTCAGATCTCAGTTTCTTGGGTAGCTAAGATTACAGACAGGAAACACTGGCACCTGGCTTCTCTTGAAGACCTTAGCAAATCTTCATGGACTGTTGATTCCACACGCCCTGTCTAGAATCTGTTCACTATGTAGAATAACTATACTTTCCCACTGTTAACCTAGTTTGATGCACTTTTCATCGAGTTCACAAAAAGCTTCAGGGAGAACAAAAATTCTCCTTGAGCAAAGTGAAATTTAGCATTCTGGTTTTGGTTCGAAGACAATAGTAGCCAACTTGCAAGGACCAATATTCCATTTCCAGGGCTCTTTCTACCAAACCACCCTGTTTCCAATGTCATTTACTTCTAGTATGTAATTATTTGATTTGATTTGAGCCTTTAGAACAAATTGCTTTTTTGTTGTTGGTGGTGGTGGTGGTATGTATTTGCCAATACTGAGGCTTAAACTCAAGACCTGGGCTTTGTTCCTTATTGCTCAAGGCTGGTGCTCTACCACTTGAGCCATAGCTCCACTTTTGGCTTTTCTGGTGGTTAATTGGAGATAAAAATTTCCTGCATACAGGGCACCGGTGACTCACACCTGTAATCTTAGCCTTTAATCCTAGCCCGTAATCCTTCAAACTTTGATCCTCAGATCTCAGTTTCCTGAGTAGCTAGGATTACAGACCTGAACCTCTGGTAACAGGCACAAAAGTCCCTGTAAGGCTCCTATCTCCAATTAACCACTCAAAAACCAGAAGTTGAGCTGTGGCTCAAAGTGGTAGAGCTCTAGCCTTTAGTAAGAGCCAGGAACAGCACCTAGGCCCTGAGTTCAAGCCCCATAGCAGACAAAAAATAAAAGTCTCATGGACTTGCCTTCCGCAGCTGACTTTGAACTGCTATCCTCAGATCTCAGCCTCTTGAGTAGCTAGGATTAGCGGTATGAGCCATCAATGCTGAGCAACACACTGCTTTTTAAAAAACAAAACAAAACATTCTGCTGCCTCCCAGCTCTGTGAATTCTCTAAGCTTCAGTTTTCTCATCTGTAAAATGGGAATACATAATAGAGCCAATTTCATAGGAGTGTTGTAAAAATCAAATGAGAGTATAGGTCAAGAACTTAGCTCAGGGCTCAACATGAAGCAAACGTTTAGTTAGTGCCAGGCATTCGCCCTTAAAATAGCTGCAGGGACAAACCATGAATCTGCAGGCCTGGTCAGTCCAATAGCTGCCACTAACTCTCCTTTTATGACCGACCTTCCTTCCTTCCTTCCTTCCTTCCTTCCTTCCTTCCTTCCTTCCTTCCTTCCTTCCTTCCTTCCTTCCTTTCTTCCTTCCTTCCTTCTTTCTTCTTTCCTTCCTTCCTTCCTTCCTTCCTTTGTTTTCCTTCAGTACTAGGAACTAAATCAAAGGCCTCATGCATCTAGGCAAACATTCTGCCACCAAGTAGTCTCAAACTAGATGCAGGCTCAGACAGTTTCCCCATCTGAGCCTGTTTCCACATCAGTATTATAAAGGAGGGTAGGAGTGAAAGGGAGAGAGCTACTTCTTCTGTCTCGTCATCTCTAGACTAAAATTGGAACAAGCTGGACTGTTGTCACACACCTGCCATCCCAGCAGATAGAGGAGGACCTCAAGTCTGAAGCCAGTCTCAGCTACATGGTGAAACTCCATCTCAAATAAACAAAAACAACAGAAGAGTTAGAAGGGGATAGGGTTCATTTCTTTCTTTTTCTTTTCTTTTTTCTTTTTGTTGGTCGTGGGGCCTGAACTCTAGGCCTGAGTGCATTCCTTAGCTCTTCAGCTCAAGGCCAGCACTCTACCACTTGAGCCACAGCAGCATTTCCCGCTTTTTCTGCTTATGTGGTGCTGAGGAATTGAACCCAGGGCCTCAGATATGCAAGGCAAGCACTCTACCACTGAGCCACCTTCCCAGCCCCTCTTTCTTTTTCTTTTTTGCAATACCTGGGATTGAACCCAGACCCTTGCACATGCACATGTTACATAACAGTGCGCTACCTCTGAGCCACACGCCATCCCAATTCTTAATGATGTTTATTGAAAGCATTTCATAATTCTATTGCTCTCTAGTTTTCTGAGACCAAGAAGATCCTGACTCCATCACAAATCCTAGTTGGGGATGTAGCTCAGCAGAAGAGTGCTTGCCAAGCAGGTACATTACCCTAGGTTCAACCCCCATTAGAATCTACAATTTAGAGAAACAATTCTCCACACCTGTACCTGCTAGCAGGCCAACACCATGAGGGGATGGTGGAGAGAGTTACAAATTTAATGTCTCTTGGTCTTCATGGGTCCAGGGCACAAAAATGATGCCAGGGAGCTGATGTGTCCTCTACAACTATACAGCCTAGGCAAAAACTGACAGGTCATACAAAGACTATGTATAGAACAGAAAGAGAACAGGCTGTGGCCTGTGAAGGCACCTATGTGGGGTAGGGTCATCAACAACCAAAGATAGCAGAAAATGCTTCCTGAAGGTTATGTCAATGAGGTGGTGTGTGTGTGTGTGTGTGTGTGTGTGTGTGTGTGTGTGTGTGTCTGTCTGTCTGTCTGTCTGTCTGTCTGTGCTTTCTTTACAGAGTTTTGTCATTTTGGCTATAGCCCACTTTTAGAGGCGCTTCTTAGAAGGGCAGACCCCTCTGAGCAGGGAAAGTAGCTGGACATCTGGCACAGGCTGACTTATAGACGCCTCTTTGTAGCACTTCCCAGAGGGCCCTCCCCCCCAGCAGACATAAATGCTTCAATTCAGGGCCTGTTGAACGATGCCTGCTGTGGTCCAGACCCAGGGCTGGGCATCAGAGCCCAGATGTATCCTGCTTGGCCTCTGCCCTCAGGGAACTCTCAGAGAAGAAGCGCTTCATGTACAAAGAAAACCAGATAAACAGTGACAAGGGCCACAAGGCTGGGGCAGCCAACCTCCTGGGGTCAGAGGCAGGGCACCAGTCCCACACACTCAGAGACCTGAGAGGAAAGAACAGGGTGTGCCCCATTGTCACGAGGGGCATTTGCCTGCTGCTAGCATCCTGCCCGTCTGTGGGAATCACCCTATCTAAAGCTGATAACCCCTTCCCTGATGCATGTTGGGTCCAAACAGAAGACAGCCTCTTCCCTCCGCCTCTGTGAACATTTAATGAACACCTGTCACATATCAGGCTCCAGGTCAGGCGCCTTTGAAGTCAGGCCTGAGTTTGACTCTCCATTCCACATACTCTGGAAAGTGACCTTACTCCCTTCTGAACCTGAGTTTTATCTCTTCCAAAATAAGGTTACAGATATGCTTCTCCCCAGGTGAGGCATTGGCATGCAGCGCATAGTTCCTTGCTTTGGCACCAGGTCATGTCCAATAAATACTGCTGTCTAAGGGGTCACCAGTGAAAGGTCTAACAGGAAGTCTAGATTTACTGGGCATGATTCTTAACTCTGTGTCTGTCACACGCATCCCCATAAATATAATTCTATTTCCTAAAAATGGAATAGAGAGCTATTGTGCAATAAGTGAGATAGATGGATGTGGAAATTCCTTCTAGAACGAAACATACTGTTAGGTCATAATGTGATGATGAATATCCAGGGCACGTTGGCCAGAGCCCTAACTTAAAAGCCATGGAATCTAGCTCTGGTTCTGGATTTTCTCTCATTGGCTGGGCAGCCTGTAGAAGGTCCCTTCCTTCTCTGGGTCTTTCCATTTTACCAGTGGGCTCAGTGCTATCTGAGATCTTTCATTTGGCATATTAGGATTCTGCCTTTGAATCAAGTGCAGTTATCTGCAAGAGTCCCACAGGGCAGTTCCCAGGTGGAGTCAGCACCCAGGGTGGTCAGGACTCACGACCAGATGGCCTGAAAGGCTATTCCACTCCCTGAGACTACCCTGGAATTCTGGCTAGGGGCTCCAAGAGGCCCATGGAACAGCTCTTGCTAGTCAGCATATCCTCTCTGCCTTATTTTCAGACTCTCAGAGGAGAAGCTCCCCCCCTCCTCCCACTGTCAGAGCCAGATCACAGGCTTCAGGAGCTCCGGCTGGAGGCTGTAAGGATAGAGAGACTGGAAGACTATTCAGACAGACAGGAAGTCAGACTTAGGAGAGAAAAACAATGCTGAATTGGGAGCCAGAAGACAAGGATTCTCATGCTTAGCAGCTGCGTGGGCTGAACAAGCTTCTTTAGCTCCCTGAGGCTCAGCATCCTCATCTGTGAAATGGGATTTTCTCAGGGCTCAGAGGAGAGAAAGACATGCAGTAATGCCAAGAAAACCATAAAGTGGGCCTAGGAATGTGGCTTAGAGGTAGTGTGCTTGCCTAACATGCATGAAGCTCTGGGCTCAATTCCTCAGTACCACACAAACAGAAAAAGCTGGAAGTGGTGCTGTGGCTCAAGTGGTAGAGAGCTAGCCTTGAGCAAAAAGAAGCTCAGTCAATGCTTGGGTCCTGAATTCAAGCCCCAGGACTGGCAAAAAAAAAAAAAAAGAAAAGAAAACCATAAAGTGAGCAGGCACTTGTGGTTTACACCTGTAATTCCAGCTACTTGGGAGGCCAAGGATGGAAACCTTGAAGCCAACCCAAGCAGGAAAGTCCATGTGACTCTTTTCTTCAATTAATCCCCCCTCAAAAAAAAAAAAAAAGCCTGAAATGGAGCTATGGTTCAAGTGGTAGAATGCCAGCTTCGAGTGAAAAAATGACAATGCCCAAGCCTTGAGTTCAAGCCCCAGTTACAACACAGGAAGAAAGGAAGGGAAGGATGGAGGAAAGGAGGGAGAGAGGAAGGAAGGAAGGAGGGAAGGAAGGAAGGAATAGAAAGCGAGCGTTTGCCAATAAGATCTAGGGGGGAGGGGGAGGGGAAGACCATGCTGCAGAGAGGAATGAACCAAGAGACTGGAAAATGAGAGAGCAGAGCTGCCTGGCCTAAAATGGGTGCACCAGGCTCCAACAGATGGTCCCTGAGGAGGGATCAGGCTGAGAGGCAGTGACGTGCACAAAGCTAACCCAATACTCAGGGAGATGCTTTATCCAGCAAGGGGAACAAAGGCCATGTCTCTTATGTACCTTGGCTCCTGGGGCTTGTCCCCAGTGAACCAGGGAAGCTCTGTAAACAGACCGCTCTGCAGATCTCAGGATCTGGTGTCTGAGCTCCAGACCTGCCTCACTGTGCCCTACCTCCCAGGAGCTTTCCCAGGCCTCTTACCAGCTCTGCTTGTCCAGATGTGTGGGTGGAATACATGCTTTTCCAGATGTGGCTGGACCAAGCAGAGGCATAGCGGCAAGATCTGACCTTGTCTGGTCTCTCCTGCAAATGTTATTTGAAGTATTGATGAAAATGATCCAATCTCAAGTGTCATGGGGGTAGATACCTGGAGGTATCTCAAAGTAAGCCACATGCACCCCCATTCCACAAAGGCCCAGAACATAGGTTTTATGGTGGTCATATCTGTGTTCTTCAGTGATTCCAGAGAGAACAAGATGGGTATGTTCCAAATACTTTCTGTGGACCAGGGCTACCGTGGTACATGACACTGATGTCATCTGTGACCTCATGGAGCTTGTTTGTTGGAGAGATAAATATTAAACGAGCTGGGCATTAGTGGCTTTCACCTATAATCCTAGCTACTGAGATCTCTACTGAGATCTGAGACTCATTGAAACCAGTCTCAGTAGAAGACTTCATGAGACTCTTATTTCAGCAAAAAGCCAAAAGTAGGAGATTGGCTTTAGTGGTAGAGAGTGCCAGCCTTGGGCTAGGAAGGTGGCTCAGTGGTAGAGTGCTTGCCTTGCATGCATGAGGCCCTGAGTTCAATTCCTCAGCACCACAAAGAAGAAAAGTTGGAAGTGGCACTGTGGCTCAAGTGGTAGAACGCTAGCCTTGAGCTGAAGAGTGCAGGAACAGTGCCCAGGCCCAGAGTTCAGGCCCCACGACTGACGAGAGAGAGAGAGAGAGAGAGAGAGAGAGAGAGAGAGAGAGAGAGAGAGAGAGAGAGAGAGAGAGAGAGCCTTGTAAAAAAGAAAAAAGCCAATAGAGAGCTTGAGGCCCTGAGTTCAAACCCCAATACTCTCTCTGTCCCTCTGTCTCTGTCTGTCTGTCTCTGTCTGTCTGTCTGTCTCTCTCTCTCTCGCATATACATACACACACACACACACAAAGAATATTAATTTTTTAAAAAAACCTTGTAAGTACGAAACACAAACTGGCAGTAGGCTAGGATTGTATAGAGCAAAGACCATCTAGTGGAAGAGAGGGTGTTAAAAAAGAAAAAGGAGTTGACATTTGAGTTGAGCTCTACAGGATGTTTGAAGTTACTAGTCAAAGGGGTTGGGGTTTGGGATGGAGAGATGAGTAGAACCGAGGATTCTAGAGTAGGGGAACAGGATGTGAAACTACAGGAGTTAGTGAGTTCACAGCAGGAGCACACACAATGAAAGAGAACTGGAATGTGGAAGTGATAGGGGCCACCTGGGCCACCTGAAGGATAGTGGTTTTGATCTTCAAAGCATTGGGAGAGCTGGGGGTATAACTCAAATGGTAGAGCACTTGTGTAGCAAGCACAAGTTCAACACCCTTGTAAGTATAAGTGTGTATGTGATCGTACTGAGGAGGCACTGGTGGCTCACACCTGTAATCCTAGCTACTTAGGAAATTGAGATCTGAGAATTTGTAGTTCAAAGCCAGCTTGGACAGGAAAGTCCACGAGACTCATCTCCAATTAACCATCAAAAAAAAGCTGGAAATGGAGCTGTGGCTCAAGTGGTAAAGCACCAGTCTTGAACAAAAAGGCTGAGGGACAATGCCCAGGCCCAGAATTCAAGCCCCAGGACCAACACACACACACACACACACACACACACACAACTCAGATTTGCATTTAAATGATCACTGTGCCTGCAGTGAGAATAGAGAGGGTACAAACAGACCTAAGGAGAGACCGCGGAGAGAGGGGCCCCATAGGCTCATGCAGGCCTCCAAGTGAGAGATGTCAAGAGGCCCGGTCCTGAATAGTGTAGAAGTCAGGAGGACAAACATGACACACAGTTTACAACGGAGCAGGCGGGTTTGGATGGAGTAGAGTGAGGATGAAGGAAGACAGGGTCAATCAAAGTGCCAGGTTTCAGCCTTGCAGAACTCCAAGCTGGGGGTGACCTCAGTGAGATGGAAAACCCAGGGGACAAGGAGCAGGGGTGAAGGTAAGTGAGGGTTCCTGTTCAGATGTGTGGCATTGGGCAGGGGAACCTGCAGGCCTGCACAGGTCCTCCTATGTTGGCTACATAAAGGATACCTTAGTGTAATCTAGACGGCCAGCAATTGGTCTGCAGGCCAAAATCTGAAGGGGCAGGGACCCTTCACTGTCTTCCCTACCATCCCTGCCCCTCCCCTCCCCTCCCCTCTCCCCTCCCCCCCAGCCCCACGCCCCGGGGCTGAGCCTCTTCTTAATGGAAACTCCTGGGCTGCAGGCGGATGTCCATGATGCAGCTGGGGCTGCAGAGGAAGGCCTGGGTTATGGAGGAACCCAGGCCTTCAGGGAGGCCAGGGCAGTGTCCCCAAGCAGTCAAGAGGGGCCTGTGACCCAGATGCTGCCTCCCCTGGCCTGCCGCGTGGGAGGAGGCGGCAGCTGCGGGCCGGGCGGAGGGCGGTGGCGCCGGCCGTGGGAAGCGGCGGCATCTGCTCTTTCCACGCTCCTTCCCAGGGGCTCGGCTCGCTCTGAAACCCAACCCGCCCCGCCTGGCCCCTGCTCGGGCCACCCGCCACCGCCAGGCCCGCACCACCCGCCGGCCCGCCCCCCGGATCGGGTTGCAGGACCAGATCAGAGAGTGGCAGCCCCAGGTCTAAGATCCCTGAAGCCAGGGGCAGAAGCGAGGGGTTAGGGGCTAAGCCAGGAGGTTGGGGCCAAGACAATTCACCACTGGCTTCACACAGACTCCAACGAGCGCGGCAGGCAGAAAGCTCAGAGCACATGGAGGACTTGGCCAGGAATGAAAAGAGACCCTGGGGAGAAAGGGGGAAGGGAGTGCCCCTTCCCAGGCCAGCCCTGGAGCCCTTCCCTGGCCTGGGAGACCACGGTCCATTGCCAGCCTAGCCATTCCAATCAGTCCAGGCAGGAGAGAGAGTCTCCCATCCTGAGAAAATGGCCTTTCTCTTCTTCCTCCGCAGCCAGATGGCCAGGCCGCTGACCGCCTCCAGCCCTTCACAGATGCAAGCTAGGAAGAAACGCAGAGGGGTGAGTGTGCTCTCAGTCTTGCAGTGGCCCAGTCAGTTTTCCCTGAATCCTCCCAGAGGGAGGGGCTGGGGCTGGCCCATGAACCTGTTCTGGAAACATCTCGTCACCCCAAGCCCGCCGCCCAGGGTTCAAATCCAGGCAAACCACTTCTCCTTTCAGTGCCTTATTTCCGCCTGTATATGGCTGGAATCGTGAAGATTAAGTGCATAAGCACTCTCTGAGCAACATCTGTTACTTTTGTTCCAGTTTCCCCTTCCTCCCTCCCCCCCCCCTTTCCCCCACCCCTCCTCCTTCAGCCTAGAACTTCTCTCAGTGAGTGAGGAGGCAAGCAGAATGAGAAGGCTTACTGCTTTCCACTGTCCATCTTGTCCAGCCCCGCCTCTCACCCAGGAAACAGCTGTGCTTACACACTGGGAATGCAATGGCTGAGGATCTGACAGAGGCCAGCCAGGCTACTCACTCCCCATGAGCCCTTAGACAAACCACTTCACACACACACACACACACACACACACACACACACACGCGTGCGCGCGCGCGTGTGTGTGTGTGTGTGTGTGTTCCCTGATACTGAGGTTTGAACTCAAGGCCTGGGCACTGTCCCTGAGCTTTTTTACTCCAGGCTAATGGTTTGCAACCTGAGCCATACCTCCACTTCCAGCTTTTTCTTTTTCTTTATTTTTTTTCTTCCTTTTTTTTTTTTTGTTGGTCCTGGGGCTTGAACTCAGAACCTATGCCCCTGCAACTCTTTGTGCTCAAGGCTAGCACTTTACTACTTGAGCCACAGTGCCACTTTGGGCTTTTTCTGAATAGTTTATTGGTGATAAGAGTCTCATAGACTTTCTGCCTAGGCTGGCTTTGAACCACAATCCTCAGATCTCAGCCACCTAAGAATTAATTACAACAGGCAGGGTCCACTGGCACCTGGCTCACTTCCAGCTTTCTGGTTGTTAATCGGAGATAAGAGTTTCACTGAGGGCTGGGAAGATGGCTCAGTGGTAGAGCACTTGCCTTGCATGCCTGAGGCCCTGGGTTCGATTCCTCAGCACCACATAAGCAAAAAGAAAAAAGCCGGAGGTGACGCTGTGGCTCAAGTGGTAGAGCGCTAGCCTTGAGCTGTAGAGCTGAGGGACAGCGCCCAGGCCCAGAGTTCAGGCCCCACTACTGGACCCCCCCAAAAAAAGAGTTTCACTGACTTTCCTACCTGTGCTAGCTCCAAATATTGATATATATATAGCTTCCTGAGTAGCAAGGATTACAGATGTGAGCCATTAGTGCCAGGCCACGTTCATGTTCTTTCTCTGAAAAATGAAAGGTTATTTTCCTGCCCTATTATGTGTATTCTGCTACCAGGATTGAGAGAGAAGGAAATAATGTAAATGAAGAGCTCTACAGCTAGAAAGGACAAGTCCCAGAACTCTCAGCACCTCTGGTAACCCAGACACTGGAAGGCTAACACTGGTACAACTGCTGCTCCCCTGTCCCCTGCCCCCAGGCAGGGCTGAGGCTGGTGCTCCCATTCTGACTGGCCCACACCCTGCTTTACCTGGGACTAACCATCCTAAATAAGCTCTGTCTCCTCCCCTCCCAGGGTTCTCCCCCCCACCCCACTCCACCTTACAGACCAAGACACAAGATCTGACTTCTTCCAGGTTTGTGCTCTCTAGCTGTGAGTCCTCAAGCAAATTACTGAGCCTCAGTTTCCTCCTCCCTCATGAAAATATGATGAGGGAAAATGAGTCAGAGTCCATCCAGGCACACAGGAACTGTGAGAGAGTGTGTACATGTGGGTAATTTCTTGTCATTCATTTGCAGATCATAGAGAAACGACGTCGAGATCGCATCAACAGTAGTCTCTCTGAACTGCGGCGCCTGGTCCCCACTGCCTTTGAGAAACAGGTAGGTGATATTGCTGATGGAGCCAGAGGAAATACTGAGTTAGTGACAAGTAGGGTGTGTCTCTCATAGTAGCTTTTGCAAAGGGATATTGGCTGATACGGTATTGTGGTCATTTAGGAATAGCTGTCACCAGCCTGGGGACAAAGAATGGAAATTTAGCCAGGCACTGGTGGCTCATGCCTATAATTCTAGCTACTTAAGATGCTGAGATCTGAGGATAGAGGTTGGAAGCCACCTTGGGCAGGTAAGAGTCCACGAGACTCTTATCTCCAATTAACTAGCAAAAGGTTGGAAGTAAAAGTATGGCTCAAGTGGTAGAGTGCCAACCATGAACGCAAAAGCTAAGTGAGAGCACTAGGTCCTAAGTTCTAGACCCATTACTGACCCATACAGAAAAAAAAAAAAAAGAGAGAATGGTAGTGGAGCACTGGTGGCTCACATCTGTAATCTTAGATATGCAGGAGGCTGGGATTTGAGAATTGCAGTTCAAAGCCAGCCCAGGAAAGAAAGTCTATAATTCTTATCTCCATTTTAACTACCCCCCCCCACACACACACAAACAAAAACCAAATAAACAGAAGTAGCCAGGCACTGGTGGATCATGCCTGTAATCCTAACTACTTGAGATTTTGAGATCTGAGGATCATGGGTTGAAGCCAGCATGGGCAGGAAAGGCTTACTCTTATTTCCAGGAAGTTACTCAGAAAAAGCCAAAAGTGGTACTGTGGCTCCAAGCAGTGGTAGAACGCTAACCTTGAGCAAAAGAGTTCAAGGGCCCAGGCCCTGATTTCAAGTCCCAACACTTACAAAAAGGAAGAAAAGTAAATTTATACTTAGCGAAATGTTGCAGCGATGGTGACTTTATATCCGACTTATGTCCATTTATGTAGAATCCAAAAAAATGATTCAGAATAGAGCTCATTCTAATTGTGCCAGGCACAGAGAACAGAGATCTCCCAGCTCACATTCAGCCATTGACTAGCTGAGCAGAAAGGAAACATGGGACTCTGCGATGTGACTCCTGACATTTCCAGAGCTATTTGGAGGCGAGACAGGTAGCTGAGAGAGTGAACACTCTGTCACTGAACCTGTTGAGCTGAGGGGATTTGGTAGGGAGTCATTTGGTTAAATCAGACCGCATCAGATATTCTTGCCTTAAGCTGCAAAGCACAGGTTGCGTACAGGTCAGAAGTCAGTTATCCCACAGATGTTCACTGAAACCTTTTGGGGAGCACCCATGAACTAGACCTAGAGTCTGCCTTCAAGGGATTCGTGGAGAGGGAGATGCTCGGGTTCTTCCTGGGAAGACAGCTTCAGAAGCATTTCACAAGAGAGAATTCAAGACAGTGAGCCCTCATGACAGGCAGGGCTGGTGAGTATCAGGGGCTGACTGGAACCTGCATGCCTTCTGTACCTACAGGGCTCTTCCAAACTGGAGAAAGCTGAGGTCTTGCAGATGACGGTGGATCACTTGAAAATGCTCCACGCCACTGGCGGGACAGGTACTGATGCTCTTCTCTCTTGGGATTCAGTTGTAATGACAAATATTTTGAGGCTGGGTCCTGAGGATCCTCTGGTGAGCCACAGCAAACAAATCCCATTGTTCAGCAAGCTTGTGATTCATCTCTCAGCATGGCCTGTTACACTCTCAGTGTCGCCACCTCTGCCCTTCCAGGCCTTGCAGGAGCTTTCTCACTATGACATTGTTCCTGCCACCAGGGAGTTAAGGGGTGACCCACAGGAGCCAACTGCAGCCTGAGACCTGCCTGAATCCAGAAAGGAAACACCTGATGTATTTATTTACTTTGCTTTATTTGTTTTTGTGACATTGGAGATTCAACTCAGGGCCTCTAGCTTGTTAGTCAGGCATTCTACTATTTGAGCCATGCCTCTAGTCTCCTTTTTTTTTTTTTTTTTTGGGTCCGGTCGTGGGACCTGAACTCTGGGCCTGGGCGCTGTCCCTCAGCTCTTCAGCTCAAGGCTAGCACTCTACCACTTGAGCCACAGGCGCCACTTCTGGCTTTTTTCTTATGTGGTGCTGAGGAATCAAACCCAGGGCCTCGAGCATGCAAGGCAAGTGCTCTACCACTGAGCCACCTTCCCAGCCCCTCTAGTCTCCTTTTAATGCGTTATTTTCACTTTGTTCCCAGGCTGGCCTAAGTCCTGTTCCTTTTGTGTTTCCCTGCATCACTGGGATGACAGGTACACACCACCTTGCTAGTCATTGTTTAGGATGGAGATTTGAAAACTTCTTGTTCAGGCTGGCTTCAAACCATAAACCCCAAGCTCTGCCTCCCTATTAGCTAGGATTTCAGGTTTGAGCCTCTATGCCTAGCCTCTACCTGAAAATTCTAACCAGAGATGTTTTCTTGGTTTAGGTTTCTGGGTTGCTGTTATGTCCTAGGCAGTGCTGGGTGACATGCCATATTCACAGCAGGTGTCCAGATCGAAGGAGAACACAAATCATTCTATTATTTTAAATTAGACCCTTAAAATCATGCACCTATAGCTTCAAAGAGACTTCCTTGCCAGGTGCCAGTAACTCATGCCTGTAATCATAGCTACTTGGGAGGCTGAGATCTGAGAATTGAGGTTCAGAGCTAGTCCTGGAAGGCAAATCTAAGAGACTTTCATCACCAGTTAACTAGCAAAAAGCCAGAAGTGGAGGCATGGCTCAAGTGTTAGAGCACCAGCTATGAGGAAAAACGTGGAGTAAGACTTTCTTTATATATATATATATATATATGTATGTATATTAATAAGTTTTTTTATTGTGAAAATACCATACAGAGGGGTTACAATTACATGAGCAACGTAATGAGTACATTTCTTATCAAGCATTGTTGCCTCCTCCTTTGTTCCCCTTACCATCCCTGCCCTCCCATCGCCCTTGCCCTCCCCACCCCCAGTAAGACTTTCTGGAGCTAGGCAAGGTGGCTGAGATCTACAATCCCAGCTACTTGGGAGATGGAAGTCAGGAAGACTCATAGTTTAAGGTCAGCCGAGACAAAAAGGAAGCCCTTCATTTCAATCAACAAACCAGATTAGTGGTGTGTATCTGTAGTTCCTATATAAGGGAGGAATAGGTAAAACTGTGAGACATTGTTTGAAAAATAAAGCAGCCAGGCGCCGGTGGCTCATGCCTGTAATCCTAGCTACTGAGGCTGAGATGTGAGTATCATGGTTCAAAGCCAGCCCAGGCAGGAAAGTCCCTGAGACTCTTATCTCCAATAAACCACCAGAAAACCAGAAGTGGCACTGTAGCTCGAATGGTAGAGCACTCATCTTGAGCTGAAGAGCTGAGGGACAGCATCCAGGCCTAGAGTTCAAGCCCCACAACTGACCAAAAAAAAAACAACTAAAAGCAAAAAAGGCTAGAGGTGTTCAAGTGGTAGAACACCCTGATTTCAAACCTCAGCACTGCCCAAACAACAAAAACACAAAGACCTTCAGGTAAATGAAAAAAAAAATTTATACTTTTTATTTATTTTTTATTCTTTTGGTCAGTCGTGGGGCCTGAACTCTGGGCCTGGGCTCTGTCCCTCAGCTCTTCAGCTCAAGGCTAACACTCTACCACTTGAGCCACAGCACCTCATCTGGCCTTTTCTGCTTATGTGGTGCTGAGGAATCGAACCCAGGGCCTCATGTATGCGAGGCAAGCACTCTATCACTGAGCCACCTTCCCAGCCCCAAATGAAAATTTTTGTCTCAAGTCTTGGACACAAAGACAAAGTCCCAAAGACAATTTGCTACTTAGAAAGAGAACCATTGCTTTTTTATTTTATTTTTTTATACTGATACAGGAGTTTGAATTGGGGCCTTGGGCTCTCACTTGGCTTTTTGTTCAAGGCTAGAACTCTACCATTTGAACCATCCCTCCACTTCCAGCTTTTTGCTGCTCAATGGCAGAAGAGGTTTTTTTTTGTTTTTTTGTTTTGTTTTGTTTTGTTTTTGCCAGTCTGGGGCTTGAACTCAGGGCCTAGGCACTGTCCCTGAGCTTCTTTTGCTCAAGGCTAGCACTGTACCACTTGAGCCACAGCTCCACTTTCAGCTTTTTCTGTTTATAAGGTACTAAAGAATCGAACCCAAGTCTTCATACATGCTAGGCAAGCACTCTACCACTGAGCCACATTCCCAGCCCTTGATAAGAGTCTCATAGACTTTTCTTCCAGGGTTGGTTTTGAAACATGATCCTCAGATAATCAGCTTCTACAGAACTAGGATTACAGGCTAAGCCACTAGTGCCCAGCCGGACCTTTACATTTTACAAGGCCCAATCTAGTGTTTCTTTGTCCTCAGAGTGAAACAGTGTCCTGTGGGGGCAAATGGAGTCACAGGTCACCCCAGATATTATGAGACAGGAGGTCTGTGCTGGAGTTTAGGAGTTTGCCAGTTTAACAAGCCTGCCCTCTTACCCTGACAGGTATCCTTTTGAGAACTCTACAGAGGAATGCATTGCTCAAGGTGGGGCTTAGCAGCTGGTGGCAAGATATTTCAAATTACACTCATGTTATCCCATTAAAAGGAAAGTAGTGGAAGTGGCGCCTTAGCTCAAGTGGTAGAGCACTGGCCTTGAGCTGAAGAGCTGAGGGACAGTGCCCAGGCCCAGAGTTCAAGCCCCACGACCGACAAAAAAAAAAAAAGAACTAGATAGAGCGCTCAGAACCTCGGCGATTTAAAAAAAGGAAAGTAGTATAGTGGTTGGTGTGGGCAGCATTTTATAGCTTTCAAAAGTCTTCAATTTTGTTGTCTCCTTCGGTTCTCACAAGAACCAGCATGGGGGCTTTTCTCCTCCACTTTCCTGTTCAAAGCTGAGGGGAACACTGGAATTGTGGGTTACACACTGCCCAGGCTCTGTGCAAATGATTTAGCCTCTCTCTCCCCCTGTTTCCTCATCTTTAATGGAAATAATGAGAAGGTATTTATAAGAATTATTAGATAATGAAATGAAAATCTTAGTAAGAAAGAAGCAGTCCTAATTCAGCGTGGTGGCTTACTCCTATAATCCTAGCTACTCAGGGAGCTGAGATCTGAGGATTGAGGGTTTGTTTTTGTTTTTGTTTTTGCCAGTTCTGGGGCTTGAACTCAGGGCCTCAGTACTGTCCTTGAGCTTCTTTTGCTCAAGGCTAGCACTCTACCACTTGAGCCACAGTGCCACTGCTGGCTTTTTCTGTTTATGTGTTGCTGAGGAATTGAACTCAGGGCTTCATGCTAGGCAAGTACTCTACTACTTAGCCACATTCCCAGCCCCTGAGACTCTTTATCTATAATTAATCACCAAAGAGCTAGCAATGAAACTGTGGCTCAAGTAGTACAGTCCCAGCCCTGAGTAGAAAAGTCAAGCAAGAGTTCAAGGCCCTGAATTTAAGCCCTAATACAGATATAAAAAGAATTTAAAGCAGCAGATGTGAGTGTAAAAGGAATTGAAACAGAGAAATATCAAGGCCAGGTACCAGCAGCTCATTCCTGTAAGATCCTAGCTACTCAGGGGACTGAGATCTGAGGATCATGATTCGAAGCCAGCCTGGACAGCAAAGTCTGACTCTTATCTCCAATTAACCACCAAATTACCAGCAGTAGAGCTGTGGCTCAAGTAGTAGAGTGCTAGCCTTGAGAGAAAAAAAGCTCAGAGGCAGTGCCCAGGGCCTAAATTCAAACCCAGAACCCACTGCCAAAAAGAATGGAAGGAAAAGCCGGGCGCTGGTGGCTCACGCCTGTAATCCTAGCTACTCAGGAGGCTGAGATCTGAGGATCGCGGTTCAAAGCCAGCAGAAAGACCGTGAGACTCCTATCTCCAATAAACCACTAGAAAACCAGAAGTGGCGCTGTAGCTCAAGTGGTAGAGCGCTCGCCTTGAGCTGAAGAGCTGAGGGACAGCGCCCAGGCCCAGAGTTCAAGCCCCCACGACCGACAAAAAAAATTAAAAAAAAAAAAAAAAGAATGGAAGGAAAGACGGAAAGAAGGGAGGGAGGGAGGGAGGAAGGGAAGGAGGGAGGGAGGGAGGGAGGGAGGGAGGGAAAGTAAAGTATTGGGGTGTGCAAAGAGCTACAAATACAGCAGATCCAGGTCTCACTTGAGATGGTCCTGACTCCAAATGCAGCCTCTTGCTGAGCTTTCCTTCTGGACTGAACCATGGCCAGGATGAGGTAGCTGCTGCTGTGGTTCTGAGGCAGTACTGCCCATGGCTGCTCTGTCTTTGTTTAGAAGGTGGTCAAGAGAGGGGTGACGGTGTGCATGACCATGTAGAAAGCTCATCTGGCTGTCCCTCACTGAGGGCAAAAGAGATGGCCTCTGGCCTGATGGCAGCCTCCAGGGACCAGATGAGATCTTTATTGCATGTGTGCGCACGGGCACATATACACATGAGTACAGGGCTTGAATTCAGGGTCTTGGCTTTTCCACTCAAGGCTAGTGTTCTACCCACTTGAGCCACACTTCCACTTTTGGCTTTTTGCTAATGAACTGGAGATAAGACTCGTGTGGGCTTTTTGTTTTTCCCCAGGCTGGCATCAGTCTACAATCCTCAGAGCTTCAGATCTCAGCCTCCTTCCTGAGAGTATGTAGTTGGGATTATAGGCCTGTGTCACTGCCACTGGGCTCAGTCTGCCTTTTGATCCAGAGACAAACTCAGAATCAACAGAAGCCCAGCCAGTAATATGACAGCTCCCTGGTCATTGATGGGCATTCTCTGGGCTTTATTTCACATATCCCCTCCACCCAGCGAAGCAGGTACCATATCCTCTCATTTTATTTCTAAGGAAAGCAAGAAGGTCAGGCAGCTGATTAAATGCTCTAGTCAGGATTAGAATCTAGCTCTGTGGACTTCCAAAGTCCTTATGTTTCCCTGGGACACTATATTCCTTCCTCTGAGGGGTCTCTGGCTCTGATGACTATTGTCATCACCGCCCTTCCCTGCCTCTGCTCCCAGTAGCAGGCCGGATTATTCAACACAACCACAGGTTCAGCCTTTTCCCACCTGCCAAGTGTCTCCTTACTGGAGGTACCTTGGCCCCATCATGAATTGTGATGAAATCATCGTTTACATTCTGTAATGTATTCTAGTCCAGTAAGTCCATGCCTCACCATCCTCTATCCCAGGTTGGGTTCTGTTCACACTTTACAGATGTGAAGACTGAGAATGCACTCACCCAGGGTCACCCAGGGTCACCCAGAGACTGAATGAGAGGGGCAGGTCCAGCTCTCCAGCAGTCTTGAGCCTGAGTGCCCCAACCTGGCATTCTCTCACAGTATCTTCTTCTGCAGGATTCTTCGATGCCCGTGCCCTGGCAGTTGACTTCCGGAGCATTGGCTTTCGGGAGTGTCTCACCGAAGTCATCCGGTACCTGGGGGTCCTGGAAGGCCCCAGCAGCTGCGCAGACCCTGTCCGAATTCGCCTCCTCTCCCACCTCAACAGCTACGCAGCTGAGATGGAGCCTTCACCCACGCCAGCCGGCTCCCTGGCCTTCCCTGTGTGGCCCTGGTCCTTCTTCCATAGCTGCCCAGGGCTGCCAGCCCTGAGCAACCAGCTCACCATCCTTGGAAGAGTCCCTGGCCCCATCCTCCCCAGCACCTCCTCTCCCACTTACTCCATCCCAGCACTCCGGATCACGCCTGTGCGCAGGGCCCCTGGCACCATCCTGCCAGCCCGGAGGAATTTGTTGCCCAGTCGAGGGGTATCTTCCACCCAGAGGGCCTGCCTCCCAGAGAGGCCAACTGCCCCTCTGCCTGTGGTGCCAAGTAGCAGGGCGACCAGGAGCAGCCCCATCTCTCCCCTCCTAACATCACCTTCCCCCACAACTGCTTGCGTAGCCCTCCCTCCCTCCAGCCCTCCCCGATCAGGGCCAGCAGGCAGGCCTGCAGGTGCTGTGCTCTACCATTCCTGGGTGTCTGAAATCACCGAAATTGGGGCTTTCTGAGCTGGCTTCCCATACCCACCTCCATCCCTCAGGAGTAAGGAAGTTTCTTTTCTTAGGAGCTCTCAAACAGGTGCTGCGTTTTCTGCTTTGCTTCCACTCAGCAGAGACCCCTTCCTCTCTCACTGCTGGTCCAGCCCACCTACCCAGCTCCTCTGGAGCTCTTCTGATCTCAGAGGCTTGGTTTGGTTTCTCACATGCCCAAATGCCTTCCGGTGATCCACAGGCTCCTAAAAGCTGTGCCAGCCCCTCTCCTGCCCAGTATGTGTGAACCTTAGAGATAAAGAATACCATGAGGCCCGGCACAGTGACTCACACCTGTCATCCTAGCTACTTGAGAAGTAGAGATCAGGAAGATTGTACTTTGAGGCTAGCAAGACCAAAAAAAAAGCCCCATTTCAACAAAGCCAGGTGTGGTTGTTTGCGCCTCTAACCCCAGTTAGATTGGAGGTATAGATAGAAGGATTGTAGTCTGAGGCTGGTCCTCAGACAGAAAGCACAGGATCCTACCTGAAAAATAACCTGAAGCAAAGAAGGACTGGAGAGATGTGGATCAAGTGGTAGAGCACCTGATTAGCAAACACAAGGCCCTGGATCAAATTGAGTTCCACTCCCCAAAATACAGTGAATTGAATAAAGGCTACCATGGCCCTAAAAGCAGACCACTTCCCTGGAGAGGTCAGATGGCAGTCAGGTATGATAACTGGCCGCAGCTGTTGCAAGCCAAGGAGTAGAACACAGTCTGCCTCATTTCCTGCAGACAGTAACTGAGTCAGGGGTCAGAGAAACAGGCACCCAGCCTGCCCCTGCCTACTCCTTCACAGTGACTCACAGAACAGACCCCTTGTCCATTACAGCCCAGGCCTGAATACTGGGGGTCAGTCTGCAGACACCACCTTCTGGCTGACTCCCCGTGGCTGGAGGATTTTAAGTATCAGCAGAAGCTCTGGGCTGGAGTATCCTTACCACCAGGCCTCCATGGGTTACCAGGCAGAGCCAGCATTGAGCGATGGGAAGCCCAGCTGCAGGCTTCTCTGTCCCAGTCACAGCTCTCCAGGCACCTGCCCCCCGCTACTGGGTGCAGATGGTCCCATATGCTGCCACCCAGAGGCCTCAGCCCTTGGGATACAGCACCAGACATCTGAACTGCCTGGTTTACATCCCACTCCAAAAGCTCAGACTGCTGCCACAGCCCTGGGCTGTGAGGCCGGACAAGAATAACTATGCCGCGGAGGAGGGGGGAAGAACGTTGGGAGGCGGCTGGGCTCTGCAAGGTCACGCTGTGAGCCAGTCCAGGGCCTGAGATCCGGTTCACCCAGACTCCACACAGCTGGCTCTGCTCAGAGGCCACTGCGTTCCTCAGCTCTGCCTCAGGCCATTTTCTCTCACACAGCACCAAGCAGCCAGGCGAGCGATCCCTGTGGAATGGCAGAGACTGGGCTGACATGCAGGGTCACCATGTCAGTGGACCAAGTGTTAGAAGTACTTCTGCCCTCACGGGTGGCCATCCACACCCTAAAGGCCTCCAAGTGTCCCCCACCACCTGCACTCCCACCTCCTCTAACCCCCACGATCTGGTTCGTGCCTGGCAGACCTGAGACTGTATGAACTAGTCATTTATTGGTGCTCACTTCACCTTCCCTGTAGAAAATCCCCCCACCTACACACACCCAGCCTCCCTCAAGGTTGCCAGTGAAGAGGCTCTGCAGGCACAAAAGTAGAATTTACAAAAACACTGGGGACAAAGAGCCAGTCAGAGAATTGGAGCAGAGGGCAGAAGTCATTTGCGAGATCCAGAAAGGATCTAGAAAGTACAGGCTGTTTCCTTGAGGGATAAAGTAGTAAGAACACCATTTGCCCCCCCCCCTACCGCCCCCCAGAAGGAGCTAGTCCAGGCACACCGTCCTGTAGTTCCTCCTACCCTCTGAGAAACGCAAAGCTAGGAGAGGAGGCATCCTATTGAGCAGATCAACGTGGGGCAACAGAGGTTCTACACTGAGATGGGGAAGGACAGTCACGTAAACCGTGACAGACAAGGTGACAGATGGCAAAGCGTAGCTTCACCTTTCTCAGGAAGGGGCACACCCAGAGGAGGAAGAGGAACTCCCCTATCTCCCTGATTCCAGTTCTCACTTCCGGCCTTCCCCCTCCTCTTCTTTCTCCTACCTGATTTCCAGCTGCTCCCAGGACACAGGGGGTGTTGCCCAATCCTGATAATCTTCTATCCTGAGAACCCAGCCCTCACTCATAGTGGGGCTGTGGAAACCATGATGCAGGTACCCAATTCCACAACAGTCTGTACACATCAGTAAAGTGAAGGGATTCCTCCTTCTCCCCAACTGTCAATATCTCTAGTGGTCTTGGGTTCCTTTTTCAAGACACCAAGGGAAGCGCTTGTGTGTGTGTTCCCTTGGCTGGGGACTCTGTTTTCTGTTTCTAGTCTCAAGCCTTCCCTGTGTCCCTAAATCACCCCACCCCAGTCCCACCCCTGACAGGCAATAAAGGTGTTTTGTTCTTCTGTAAACCCCTAATAAATTCTACTTGTTTGTTTATTTGTTTGTTTGTACTAGTATTAGAGCTTGAACTCAGGGCCTGGGCACTGCCCCTTAGCTTTTCCACTCAAGGCTGGCACTCTACTACTTGAGCCACAGCTCTACTTCTGGGTGTTTGTTAGTTAATTGGGAGATGAGAATCTCATAGATTTCCCTGCCTCAGCTGGCATGATCCTTACATCTCAGCATCCTGAGCTTTAAAGTCTGCTTTTCTTTGTCTCTGCAGCCTGTCTGTTTGTGCTTGAACCCATAGCCACCACCAAGGCTGGGCCACAACACATCTCTTTCCCTAATCCCTAGCAGCAACCCTAGAGAGCCCAAAACATGGTGATCACACAGTGTCTTTTATGGTTTAGAGTCTCTTCCTTGGTATATTGTTGTTCTACAGACGAAAGCAAGGTTCTCCCTCTTTTTGCTCCAGACCCCCTGTCCCCTTCTCTCTTCATTCCTTAACATTCCAACTTGCTTCCACCTCCGGGACAGCACATCGGCTGGTCCCTCTGTCCCAAATGCTCCTCCTTCCTCTTGGCATGGCTAAGCTCTTCAGCCCCTCAGTGCTTGTTTTCATTGTCACCACCTCCGAGAGGCCTTCCATGACTACCATACTTGAATACTTACTTCATCTCAGAAGACTCTCTTTGTTTCCCTTCATGGAGACTTTACCATTCACCCCACCCTCGTGCCCCCCCCCACACCTAGATTGTAAGCCCTATGAGGCCATAGAACCACCCCTGGTCTACAATTTGGTATGTACCCAGCCCTGAGCCTGGTGCCCGGCTCTTTGTCAATGTCCTCTGAATCCTTGTTGAGTGGAGAAGTCTGGGCTTGTGCTATGGTGGCACAGGCCTTCTGTGTGGGATCTCCCAGCCCCACCCCCAATGACCAGCTCTGGGAGGAGGCCAGAGAGAGCAAAGTGAGAGCCAGGGCCAGGGGACTGGAAGTTCTGGCAGAAGGGTCAAGAGACTGGGCCAGAAGAGAACTCGAGTGAGTGTGCTGGCCCCAGAACATACACTGACAGCCGGGGACAAGCAGGCTGGCTCTGCCAGCACCTTCTCCTCCTCTCTCAGCCTGGCTGGTTAATGTTGGCTCCCAACAAATCTAACAAACACTCCTGGAGGTCTGCTCTGTGCCCACCCAGCCTGGCAAAGCCAGAGGTGACAAGGACACTGTCACTCTGAGCCGGGCATATCCTTCTGCCTAAGGGAGAGCTGGCACAATGGGAACAGAGAGATTGGAGGAGAAGGCCGAGCAGCAGAGTGAGGTGTTTGGGGGAGAGGCCTGGGAGGAAGCCCTTTGCCGGATGAAGGGAATTTCCCATTGTAGTGCAAAGAGGCTGGTCCTGAGCTGTGCACGGTAGGGAGGATGGGCTAGCCTGGGCACTGAAGCCAGACTTCTTCCTCAGGCCCTTATTTATAAGTGGTGGCCTTGAGTAAATTCCTTGACAACCTTGAGCTGCAACTTTCCCATCTATAAAAAATGGATTGCTGGGGCTGGGAAGGTGGCTCAGTGGTAGAGTGCTTGCCTTGCATGCATAAGGCCCTGAGTTCGATTCCTCAGCACCACATAAGCAAAAAGAAAAAAGCCGGAAGTGGTGCTGTGGCTCAAGTGGTAGAGCGCTAGCCTTGAGCTAAAGAGCTGAGGGACAGCGCCCAGGTCCAGAGTTCAGGCCCCATGACCGGACCCCCTCCCCCCAAAAAAAGGGATTGCTGCCATGCACCCATGGCTCACATCTTAATCCTAGATACTCAGGAAGCTGAGATATGAGGATCAGGATTTGAAGCTAGCCAGGGCAAGAAAGGCTGTGAGACTTATCTCCAATTAATTACCCAAAAGCCAGAAATGGAACTGTGGTTCAAGTGGCAGAGTGCTAGCCTTGAGCAAAAAAGCTGAAGGACAGTGCTTGGGCTTTGAGTTCAAGCCCCAGTACTGGCAAAAAAAAAAAAAAAAAAAAGTTAAATAGGACACCAGGCTGTGTGTTTCAGCCCCTGTTGGAGACCCGCGTGACCATTTGTTCCGGACATGGGTGCCACCTCCCACATTCTCATAGAGTCAAACCAATGTGGCAGTCTCCCACTCCTACCATCTGCACCTGATCTTAGAACATGAACTCTCTCTCTCTCTCCCTCCCTCTGTCTCTCTCTCTATCTCTGTCTCTGTCTCTCTCTCTGTACCATACTAGAGTTCAGACTCAAGGTCTCCCACTTTTACCTTTGATGCTCAAGGCTGGTGCTCTACCACTTGAGCCACATCTCCACTTATGGTTTCTGGGGGGAGGGGAGGTTGCTTGTTAATTGGAGATAGGAGTCACTTGGATTTGTCTGCCCAAGCTGTCAGCCTCCTAACTAGTTAGGATTACTGATGTGAGCACTGGTACAAGGCTTTTTTGTTGTTGGTGGTGGTGGTCCTGGGGCTTGAACTTGAGACATGGGCACTGTCCCTGAGTTTTTTTGTGTGTACGTTTTTGCTCAAGGCTAGCACACTACCACTTTGAGACACAACACAGCTCCACTTCCAGTTTTCTAGTAGTTATTTGGAGATAAAGAGTCTCATGGCCTTTCCTGCTTGGGCTGGCTTTGAATGGCAATCCTCAGATCTCAGCCTCCTGAGTAGCTAGGATTACAGGTGTGAGCCACCAGCACCCAGCTGGTACATGGCTTAAATAATGTTATTTATTCATAAACTTTTTAATAACATTTAATTTCATTTTTGCATGGTTTTGGTATAAGTATCCCCAGATGTAGGTGAGGCAAGGGAGACACAGCATTCATAATAGTGCTGTGACCTAGAACCAGAACTTTAGCCCATGGGAAGTTGGCTCAGTGGCAGAGTGCTTGCCTTGCATGCATGAGGCCCTGGGTTCAATTCCTCAGCACCACATAAGCAGAAAAAAAAAGCCAGAAGTGGCGCTGTGGCTCAAGTGGTAGAGCGCTAGCCTTGAGCTGAAGAGCTGAGGGACAGTGCCCAGGCCCAGAGTTCAGGCCGGACCCAAAAAACAAAGAAAAGAAAAATAAATAAACAGAACTTTAGCCTAAATGTCTGATTCTAGGCACTGGATTCATAGCCACTCTGTGCTGTTGCATTCAAGTCACTGAGCAAAGAGAAAAAATAAACCAAAGAAAAGTAAAAGTAACTGTTTGTATCCATACCAAAATCAGTGAACTGTGGGATCAAGCAAACTGAGGTTAAAAGTCCAAACTTGCTATTGACTGGAATCCATGACTGACATAAACTTCTTAGCTTTATTAAGTCTCAGGTTCTCATAAGCAGAAAACACCTGGAAGAATCTACCTTATTTTTATTTTTAAATTGATTTTTATTTTTTGCCAGTCCTGGGGCTTGAACTCAGGGCCTGGGCATTGTCTCTAATCTGCTTTTGTTCAAGGCTAGCACTCTACCACTTGAGCCATAGTGCCACTTCTGGAACTTTGGAGATAAGAGTCTTGTAGACTTTTCTACCCTGGCTGGATTGAACTGTGATCTTCAGATCTCAGCCTCCTGAGTAGCTATGAATAGAGGTGTGAGCGTGAGCCACTGGTCTATGGCAAAGAATCTACCTTTATCTATCTTCTTAGCTGTTTTTGCCCATTTGTTATAGTCTTTTATCTATTACTGCCCTCTAGTGGTCAACAAAAAATGATACAATAACTGCTATGCAAGATATAAATGTCCCAAGGTGCCAGTGAGTCTGTAATCCTAGCTACTCAGGAGACTGAGATCTGAAGGTCACGGTTCAGAGCCAGCCCAGGCACAAAGTTCATGAGACTTTTATCTCCAACAAACTACCAAAAAGCTGTAAATGGAACTGTGGCCCACATTGTATAGTGCTAGCCTTGAGACACAGAACCTCAAGCCCCAGCCCTGGCACCCCCAAAAAAAAATAAATAAATAAAGTCCCCAAGCACTAGTGGCTCATACCTGTAATCCTAGCTACTCAGGAAGCTGAGATATCAAGATCATGGTTGAAAGATAGCCCAGGCAAGAAAGTCTGTGAGACTTTTATCTCCAATTAACCACACACAAAAAAAGAGCTAAGCTGGATGCTGGTAGCTCACACCTATAATCCTAGCTACTCAGGAGGCTGAGATCTAAGGATCACAGTTTGAAGCCAGCCTGGGCAGAAAAGTCCATGAAACTCATCTCTAATTTACCACTCAAAAACAGAAAGTGGTGCTGTGGCTCAAATGGTAATGTGCAAGCCTTGAGCACAAAGAGTGCTCAAGGAGCACAAAGAGACAGTGTCCAAGCCCTGATCAAGCCCCACAACTGACCAAAAAAACCCAAAAAACTAGAAGTCGATGTATGACTCAAGTGATAGAGCACTAGCCTTGAGCAAGAGAAGTTCTGGGACAGTGCTCAGGTCCAGAGTTCAAGCCCCAGGAATGGCCAAAAAAAAAGTTCCTTATTTACAATGGAGTGTATCCTGCTTTACCTAACATTTGCTTCCAATTGTCACTGAGTGTATAGTTCACAGAAGAGTATGGATTGGTTGTTCCATGATGATTGATGGCCCAGTGTAAGATACAGCTCAAGCCGGGCGTTGGTGGCTCACACCTGTAATCCTAGCTACCCAGGAGGCTGAGATCTGAGAATTGCAGTTCAAAGCCAGCCCAGGCAGGAAAGTATGTGAGACTCTTATCTCCAATAAACCACTCAGAAAATTGGAAGTGGTGCTGTGGCTCAAGTGGTAGAGCACTAGCCTCAAGCTGAAGAGCTGAGGGACAGCACCCAGGCCCAGAGTTCAAGCCCCATGAATGAAAAAAAAAGAAAAGAAAAGAAAAAGAAAAAAAAGATACAGCTCATTGCTATTCTCTTGCATCCATCCTGACGCTAGGGAAAAAAAACAAAGTTCAAAATTTACATTATGGAGCCCAGTATAAGTGCCTCATGCCTATAATCCTACCTATTCAGGGGGCTGAAATATGAAGATCACAGTTCAAAACCAGCCCAGGGAGGAATGTCTGTGATATTTGTATCTCCAATTAACCACCAAGCAGGAGCTA